GTCTGAGCAGCGTCATGTTTGATATCAGATTTTGTATTTATGGGTTCTGTTGTTTTTTGCTGTTGAAAAGTTTGCGTGCTTGTGTGTTTTTCTCTCTGTTCACATCGACAGAAAGTGAGAAAATGGGATCATTCAGAAAGGACTACAGCAAATAATTCAGAGCTGGTGTGTGTCATATATCTCACCAAGGCCCGAGTTTCAAGCCAAATAGAAAGAAAGTTAGCTGAGTGGGTTTAAAGCTTGAATAGCACATCACAGTGTAAAGTTTATGAATTATTTTAAGTGCAGCCCATGAAATGGTATTGGTTTTGTAAAATTATCTCGACAACAAATGGTCTTGTTCAAGGCTTTCCAAAACGGGCACTCGTACATCAGGCATTCCCTGGCACGGATTCGAGTGCAGTTGACAGCAGATCTGCATTGGAAATGAGCAGATCACATAATGTCTTAGGGAAAGGCAGAGTCTGGGCATCAGATGTTCCCGGGTCTTTATTGTATTTCTGAGAATTTGCTGTGAAAATACAGTCCTGGTAAGTGTGATTTGAAGAAAAAAAAAAGTCAAAGTGAAATAAACTGTGATGGAAACGTTTGCGGCGTGCTGGAGCTTACAGTAAACAGGAGCACAGCTGATGGAGAAATGCAAAAATATTCATTGTGACAGAAAGATGCAGCATCTCACTGAGCCCCATCTCCCAGCACCAGGGCCATTCCAGCACAGCGGTCCATTGGCTTTAGGAAAAATGGTGTTTGGCATCCCTGGGAGCTTTGGGGACTGAGAGTGCTTCCACCATGTTTCTGAATCATCCGTGTTGTTTGCTTCAGCCTTCTGCTGGTTCAAAGCAGTGCAGGAAAATAAAGAATCCCTGGATCGATGTTTTACCTCCTCCACTGTGAGCCCTTTCAGATCAGCCTATCTGGATTAGGGCTTTGTTTCTCCCCCTGACCCCCAGCAGTGGGTTGGATCTGTGCTGCTGTGTTTGGGCTGTCCCAGGGCAGGGCAGAGGGACACTGCTGGAAAGGAGCACAGATTAGCAGCACAGATTGTTCAACAGAATTGGGAAAAATGGATATGAATGGGAGCAGGGTTGGAGGACACATGGGACAGGTGCCCTTGTTCACCTGGACGTGTTTCAGAACAAAACAGCAGCCCAGATTTCTTTTTTATTTCTTATAATGGCTCAGTTAAAAGGAAAATCCTAAGAGAGGAGCATAAGAGGCCTCTGCTCCCATGTCACAGCCTGTGATTTCCTAAAAGCAGAAAAGGGGAATTAGAATCCACACTGCTAGAGGAAGGAGTGAGGCTGCCCCGCATGCAGGTGTGCAGGGAAAGCAACTCCACAGCTACGGGCTGCTCAGCCTCCATCTGCTTCACATCAGCTTGGACAGAAAGCACGGAAGTGTTTAAAGCCTGCTGAGTGGCTGGGGGGGGGGCAAGGGGAAAGGGAATGGGGAAAGGGTTGCAGGGAGCTGTGCAGGAGCAGCTGAACTGGAGGGAACACTGCTTTCTCCTTTTGTATTTCTCCCTTAGGTTTGTTTGTGAAGCATCTGCCCTCTTGCTAAGGATGCTTGCTTTATGCTAGTGGAAGCTGCATCATCCTGAGCCCAATCAGGCTGAGAAATGCAGGACTGGACTTGCATGGAAGCAGCAGAGCCTCTCTTCCTTGGGGTAATTGCTTTCCTTCGTTGCTCTCCTCCTCCTTTCCCAGGTCAGGGCTAAACTGGTTTTCATTGTTAGCAGCAGTGCATTGTCAAGCTGCTGGGTAAAAACAGTGAGCAGCTCGTGCCGGGTGTGCAGCTCACATCTCCCTCGCTGTCATAGCTGCTGTTCAGTTTTGCTGTGGTTTGGGGGTAGAAGAGATTTCCTGTGCTGCTGAAGTCAGGCAGATTCTTTGTAGAGTAGGGACTTGATAAACATGCATTCGGCCTGCATGTATCACAATAATGGGGAATGGCCATATCAAGTGCTGGAGAAATGCAGCATTTAATTTCCAGAAAACATTTTTAAGCAGATGCCATCCAGCAGATAAATGTAGAAACGTCCCCTTTTATCACTGTTTTTGCAAGATTTCTGTTTGCCTAGTGCAGTGGTATCTGGGTGACCATAACAACCCATTACATTCATTTGCCCACAGCCGGTAGCACCGAGCAGATTCCTGCTGTATTTTGCTACACTAAGATCGTCAGCAGTGACACAGTGCCAGACAAATATTTGACAAAGGAAAGCCAGGTTCTGTGCCATTCTCTGCACAGCGCTGAGTCTGTCCTTGCTGTTTTCTCTGTCCCCATCTCAAGATAGTTTTTTGGGTGTTTAATCTCCTGTCCTGGTAAGGCTGGCCTATTGCACGGAGGCATTGAAGCAAGGTGAGGGACTTAAGTCACACCAGGGATCATTCAAGTTGGATATTAGGAAAAATTTATTCTCTGAAAGAGTGGTGATGCACTGGCACTGCTGCCCAGGGAGGTGATGGAGTCAGCATCCCTGGATGGCAGATGTGGCACTGAGGAATGTGGTTTGGTGTCATAGTGGGATGGGTTGGGATTGAACTTGATGATTTCAAAGTTTTTTTCCAACATTTATGATTCTGTGATTCAGTGATTCTATGAAGCGTTTTCCCCAGTGGGTTATTTCTGCCCAGGCACAGCATGGCTGCATAGGCAGGGTATACACCCCATATTTGGAGCACATGAGGAGACCAGGATGGCAAATTCTTGCATGGCACTAACTCCTGGGCACACTGAGGAGGTGACACAGGGTCTGCATTGTCCCCTCTGTCCCCAGGGCCCTGCCAGCTCTCAGCACTGCTGCTCCCCCAGCTCCCTGCAGTTTGCTGGCTCCCAGCCACCTGAATATTTTGGTATGCAACGTGTAGAGTCAGGAAGTTTGGCCACACCTGCAGACACATCCATCTAAAACCTGCCGAGGAAAATGAACCACTTTAAAGTCAATCCAGCCATACGGAATGAGATTAATTTAAGTCAAACAATTCCGAGTGCATTTACGTTGGCCATTTACTTTAGGACTGCAGCTTTGACTTTAAGCAGGATTAGGAGATCGGAGGAGTGCAGAGAGGTTCCTTGTCTGCAGGACCCTCGGTGCTGTTTGCAGGTGGATTAGAGCTGAGCTCTGGGCCTCCACAGTGAGCTCAGGGAATTAATCCTGCAGGAGGATGGGCAGCTGAGGCACGATACGAACACACATACATAGCAGCTAGGAGCAATCCTGTTTCTTTATTCCACCTGATCCTGTTTTGTACAAATCTGGGCTGGGCTGGGCTGCCGGTACCTCCTGTAGGCACAGCCCCACAGCCTGTTTTCCTATGCAACCACAGAAACACTCCCTAACATCACCTGGGATGCCTCACCCAGCACTGATCCTACCTGGCCCTGCTGGGTGTATGGCTCAGTGCTGGGATCTGGAAGAGCCAAAGCCATGTGCTGAACCTCACACCCCTCTGGTGCTGCTTTCTCTTCTTTAGGCACTTCCAACACAATGCCCGTTTCACTTTGCCTGCTCTCACACACACACTTGCTGCTACCTGGGGTCATTTTGAAGCACACCAAGCAGTTCTCCCACCCCAGTGGGAATGAACAAATGGCATGAGCTCACTCTCGCCTACCAGATGACCACATCTTTTTTTCCAGCCATGAGCATTTGCTGATGTACCTCCAGGGATGGCTTTCTTCCCTCTCCTGCCCTGCAGACTGCAGCCTTTTGCTGTGCCACACTGTGTCCCACAGAGGGCAAGCACTGCTGTATAGGAGCAATGCTGGAGTTCTGTTGGGTGGCGTTGGTCTTTCTTCCCCTCCATCGGTAGTGGCACAAATTGCTCTCATTGAAGTTGAGGTCTCAGGTGAGATGTTTGACCCAGGTCCCAAAAGCTCAGCAATCACTGAATAGCTCAGTTCCAGGAACAGGGATATTAACCCTGCAGTCCTGGGCTGACTCCAGCATGTTTAATTACAGCCTTCTATCTTTGCTCTGCACTTTTGACCGGTTATGGGTCTTTTTTTCTCCGTCTTTCAGCTCTGGAGCAGCCTTGATAAGGGCTGCAGAGCCAAAGCAATCAGCAGTTATGGCTGCTCCTTCTCCTCAGGTTTTCGAACTAGTATTATTTTCTGGGATTCTACAAAGTATCAGCAGCTTGGCTGAGCAGAAAAGTTGTAGCATTTTAATCCAGATAATGTAACCAGCAGTGTATACACTATCCATACACACTGCAAAGCGCTGCAAAGAGCGTGATCTTTGTTTGATAATGCCAATAACTACTTGTGAACACAGCTATTTGGACGTTGTGTTGAGGGATATGGTTTAGTGAGAACTGTTGGTGACTGGCGGATGGTTGGACTGGATGATCTTGTAGGTCTTCTCCAACCTTGCAGATTCTGTGATACGTATGGAAGTATGAAAGAATGCGATGCAAGGTAAACACGCGCACTAAAGAACGCATTGAAAGATTGGTTTTTAATCTCACACCTCAGCGTTACGCGGGACGGGCTTCGCTCTGCAGAAGGCTGCAGCGATCAGCGCCGTGCAGTAATTAAAACGGCAGCCGTGGGCTTTGCGCGAGGGCCCGAAGGAGCAATGCCGGGCGGGCTGGGAGCTGCGGGGCGGCTCAGTAGGAAGCGGGGCTCCCGGCAGCGCCTCGCCAGCCCCCGCGGAGCGTCTCGACGCGCGGATCCCGCACGAAGCGGCTCGCACGGATCCTCGGCACCTGCCCGAGTAACGGCGCTCCGCGCCCGGCGGTGACCGCTCGGTGCCTGCAGGCGGCGCCGCGCCCCCGGCGCTGCCCTGAGCCCGCAGCCCACAGCCCGGCTTGCCCCCGCCCCGCGCTATCAACCGCGGCGGTGCCCGGCCCGGCCCGGCCGGCGGGGCTGGAGGGAGAGGCTGGGGAAGGCGGCGGTGGCGGCGGCGGCGGCGGCGGGGCCCGGCTCGGCTCGGCTCCCGCTCCGCCCCGTCCTTCCCCCCTCCCGCCCCGCCGGCTCCGCCCCGGAGGCCGGCACGCTGGCTCGCTCCCTGCCTGGGAACATGGCCGAAGTCGGGGAGGACAGCAGCGGGGCGCGGGCTCTGCTGGCGCTGTGCTCCGCGCCCTGCAGCCCCGCCGCCGCGCCCCCTCCCGGGCCGCCGCCCCCGGCCGCGCCGCCCGCCCCCGGCCCGGTGCTGGCTCGGCTGCAGGGCCGCGAGTTCGAGTTCCTCATGCGGCAGCCGGCCGTCACCATAGGCCGCAACTCCTCGCAGGGCTCGGTGGACGTCAACATGGGCCACTCCAGCTTCATCTCCAGGCGGCACCTGCAGCTCAGCTTCCAGGAGCCGCACTTCTACCTGCGCTGCCTCGGCAAGAACGGAGTGTTCGTGGACGGCGCCTTCCAGCGCCGCGGCGGCCCGGCCCTGCAGCTCCCGCCGCAGTGAGTGCCGCCGGTGCGGGTCGGGCTGGGCCGGGGGGGCGGCGGCACTGCGGGGCCGCGGGCCGGGGGAGGGACCGAGAGGGACGGCGAGAGTCCTCCGGGCCGTGGGGAGCTGAGGAGGGAGCGGTGGTGGTTCCTCCCTCCGAGGGGCTGCTGTTGAGGATGGGGAGTTGAGGGCCTCCCCCGGCCCGCAGAGGAGAATTGAGGGATGCCTGGCGTGGAGGTGGCAGAAGGGTGGCTGCGTGTGTCTGCTGGAGGGCTGCGGTGGGGAAGGGGTTCCGCTCGCTGAAGGCAGCGGATCCACCTCAACGTCTGCAGGGGATGCCACCTTCCAGCCGCCCGTGACCATAACAGGGGGTGTTAGCAGGGCTGGGGTAGCGGCCGGTTGAGCCGCATCTGGGGAAGAAACGTGAGCTCCTCACCGTAGGGTGCTCCTCTTCTGTGGTGCTTCTCCCGCACGCTGCTGCCAACAGGCTGGTGTCCAACTGGTGGCCCTTCAGGGATTCCCAGAAGATGAATGAGAAGGAAGGCTTTCCCCAGTGGGCTGAAGCTTGCTACGCCCAGGGTTTGTCTTCCTTGGAAAAGTTTTAGTGGAAAAAGTTGGAGAATCGCTTTTGTCTGAGCGCATGTTTTCGGGTTGGCCAATTGTGTGTTGGGTCTCTTTGGAGCAGAGGTGGTGCTGCCCACCAGGACCCCTGCAGAGCAGTGCCCTGGGTTCTTCTGCTCCACTCACAAAGCGCCGAAGGCTGCGGAGACATCTTTCTATTTTAAATAAGCTTTCTTGTTTGGGGAAGGCCCAGAAAGAACGATGAGGTCGCCGTTAATCATGTTCTTCCTCTGAAAATATTGTTTATGGTTGCTGAGCACTGTCCAACTACTGCAGAGCTTCGCCCCGGAGGTGGCAGTGTGGTGGCAGTGGGTGATGTAATTCCTGCATGCATCCTTCAGGCCACGCTGGGCAGGCTGTGGCTGATGCACTCTGTGAGGGCAGGGGTGATGTTTCATTGTGTTCCACGACGCTGTTGGCTGTTTGCATGAAACATCTGTTTCCATCCAGCAGCACTTGGCTCTGGTACCGCACACCTCCAGCACAAGGGTCCTGCAGTTATCCCTCTCTAGCCAGCCTGTTGCTCAGGGGAGGGTTTTTTAATTACTCATTTCCTCTGCAGGCTGCTTCATTTTGTACTTAGTAATTTGGTTATAACTCCCTAGCTACTCGCTCTCCGAGGCATTTTAGTTTGTAACGTGTTTCATTTTCTGAAAGAGATGTCCTTCAGTGTCAGTTTAATTAATCTTGCTTTGTAAAACAAGACCACCCAAAGCCCAGGGCAGCTCTGTTGCGTCGCTCCCTCTGGTTCTGGGTTTATTTGTGCAAGCTCTCCCCTCCCTGCCGTCCTGTTTCTTCACTTGGTTAATCATAAGCATTGTGCTCCCTCTCAAGCAGGGAGTTGGTTGCCTGTTCACCCCCCACCCCCTCCATTTGCTCTTGACTTCTGGAGTGGGAACAGCAATTTTCCTTCTCCTTCGCTGTGCAGGGAAGTGTTTAATGCAGTTATGAGCTCTGCACAGTAAGGCATCCTCTTTGCTCAGCCACTGTTTGAGCTACATAAGCGATCTTGGTGTGCTCCTCCCTTTCTGAGTTCTGGAGCAGAAAAATGTTTTGCACCGATCTAAAGGAATTTGCCCCCTTACTTCAAGCAGGTAAACAACTCCTCGCCTTCTCCTGGCCAGGCAATGGTTTGTAACCCAGACAAGGGGAAAAAAAAAAAAAAAAAAAAAAAAAAAAAGTCCTGTTGAAGCACAGAATTGAGTGAGGCTTTTTCTGCCTGCTTTTGTCTCCAGGCGTGGAACATCAGCCAGCTCCCTTCCCCATTGCACCCTCAGCCCCACACGCACCCACTGAGTGAGCAAACAAAGCGCTGCTCGGTGCCATTTCTCTTCTGCAGAGCAGTCTGTGTGCTTGTTGCTAGCCAGCTAATATTGCCAAAATATGAGAGTGGGAGGGGGGGGGTAAGAAGTGGAAATAAGTCTTAGTACACAGACTTTACAATTCCAGCTGTACTTCTTTTTTCCTGCGTACTATTTTGTGGTAATATCACAGCCCTGTTTGGTACAGCCACATCATCTCTGTCTGCCAGTAAAATGTATGGTTGGTATTAAGTTTTAGAATTAATGGCTGCTCCATTTGATGATTTAGATGAAGGTCCTTGTGATGGTAATCTCTTAGAGCTGCTCGTTTGAATAGCCATCCCTTTTCTTTTTGCTATCTGTTTTTTAAAAAGGATAGCAAAAAATCTGCCAAGTCCTATTTCCTTTGTGTCAGTGCAGTCACTGCTGTATTCTGCTATTACAAGCAAAGGAGTGATTGTGCATCACGAGATCATGAGTGGAAGCAGGGGGTTCCAGGAAAAAAAGCATCTTCCACATGTAATTCATGCTAAAACATAAATCCTGGACTCACACATTCCATTTCTGAGGTTTCCTCTCATTTCACTCTTACAAAACTCGTGTGCTATAAACCTTCTTCTGAGTTTGGAAGCAAACATCCTTCAAATCTACAGAAGGCTTTGTTGGGAGGGGTGGGGATGGGAGGAATAGGATGAGTTGGAGGTGTTTCGTTCTGAAGATTCCCCATACCTCCCAAAACAGCAGCCCTGTTCTCAACCAAGGGCCTTGGAGAGGAGCTCTGCACCGCTTCCTCCATCTCCATCGTGCGTTCTGTCATCTGCCGTGAGCAGGATCTCACCGCCGGCCGGGCGGATCGCCTTTCACAGCTGTGTTATGGAAGATTATATTTCACAGATGTGATGACATAACTGTGGAGTATAATTAAGCAGTAATGACCAACAAGGAGGGCATTTCCTCGAGGTTAATGATAGTTAGAAACAAAGTGGGTGGAAAAGCGGAGGGCCGCAGTGCAGCCGAATGCCCCTTAATCTGTTTAATTAACGCGAGTGTCGCACTGCAGCAAGCGTTCAGATAAATCAAGATGAAATCATGGAAGCACTTAGATTAAGTGCTTAAATAAAACTAAGGATTGCTAGAAGCTGTTCTTAGCTATGCTAGTGGAAATCTGGGGAGAAATACCTGGGCTTATATTAGAAACCTCCAGACTATTGGCAGGGTGTGCTGTGGTCTTTTTTGAAACTATCGATACAAGTTAAAGCTGAAGATAATGTGGAAGTCATTACCCAAAGTAATTATTCCCGTTTAAGACAATAATTGCTTCAGACTTACCATATAATCAAGTGTTTACAGCATCATTTCAACACAGGATTTTTAATCTTTTCTTTGCAATCTTCAGAATGAACTCGGGTTTTAGAAGCAACAGTAACGAGCTGGAGACTTGCAATAATTAAACTAAGCATTTTCCACCCCTGGAAGTGAGGGATCTGAGACAGAAGCTGGAAGCTGAGCTTGCTAACCTGAATTTTAAGCAGCTACGGGTCAGGTTTTCAAATGCTCCTAAGTACAAAAGTCCTATTGACTAAAAACTGCAAATGTTGATTGAGCGTAGCCTGATAATGGCACTTGAGCTTTCTGAACTGGGGGCTCAGTGGCTGGAAAATGGTGCTTGCCTGTGAATATTTCATGGGATATTTGCTTGTGGCCTTTGTGCCTGTTCTGTGGCTTTGCAGTAGAACTATTAATGGAGCTGAAACTTTCTTTTTTTCAGCGTAAATTGATATTTTCAGTAGGAGATTTATAAGCGTTAAAAAGTTCTTGAGCCTGAAGTTCTCCTTGGGATTTAGGAAATGGAAGCAATGAATGGAGTTGTTCTTAGAGTGTAAAATGCACGGAAAGGAGATGTATGGCTATGTGGAGTTAAATACATATATATATTTCTATCTGTGTATAGGCCCTGTTATAAGCTGGCAATGTAATGTACATGTGACATTTTATTATGAACAGGCTGCCTTATTTATAAAGGGATTTTCCTAGGTACTAACACTTGGCATAAATAAATAATCCAGTGCTCAGAGCACATCTGAGGGTGCTGATCTGAAGAAATCCTATGCGTGTGTTAATCTCTGTGGCAGTGCACAGCTCACGTCGTGCTGGGGCAGCACGGCTGTCGCTGCCATTGGGTTCTGCACCCAAGCAGGAACAGAGAGCTGAGCTCAGCAGTGCTCCATTCCCTTCCTCAGAGGGGTTGGGCAGTGCTGGCCGGTAGCTCAGGGCACAGCTTCACATAAAAGCTGCCATACTCCGGGAAAGTGGAGATGTACGCAATGTTTGATGAGCTCACAAGCTGCTCAGCCCCCATTCTTGCATTGAGGCCGATGCTGTTGCAGTGCCCAGGAACTGCTCTGACCACATAACCACAAGTCCTGCGCCGTTGTTTCTGAAGCACTCCGAGAGCTCCTCGTGTAGTTCTACTTCTTAAGCGTTGCATAATCTGTGTTTGCAGCGTGGCGGTGGTTCTTTGTTCGAAATGCATCATTTGCTGTGCTGCAGCTGTGGTGGATGGTGGTTTTACTCCTGCTAGGAACTCTTTAAAGGTTTGCTATCTTAGTTCTTTATCTTACATTTTTCATGCTCTGATTTCAAAGACCTGAATGGGTTTTTTGTTGCACAGCAAGACTGCGATAAAGCCTTACTTTATTTTAATTATGGAATTTATGTCAAGCAATAACTCTTAGCTACGCAGCTCAATTTGTCATGGCTTATGTTAAATGTTTAAGGAAAGCTTCTCATTACATGAAACCGGCGCTCGATTTGTTGATTCAAAAATAGCAGTGCTGTAAGTCAGGCTGTGAATATAAACCAGTGCTATGAAAGCTCACTGCGTAGCTCCCTTATGTATTCCTTTAAACCAAGCTCAGTTCGGCTTAGCTGATGTGTTGACTATGAAAAGATGGATCTAAGCAGAACGTGCCACGCTTGTCTTGTGCGTTCTTGTGCAGAGCCTCAGCTTTGAAGGCTTAAATGTGGATTCACGTTGTGCTGGGGGAACGTTGTGCTAACAGCCTCTTGGTCATGACATGCATGCTCAGCTG